AGCTAGGGGAGTCCTATTTGTAATGGTAGCCTTGGCACTATTAATGCTATCATTTCAAATCGAAAACAAGTCAGTCAGTCCACTTGACTATGTTTCATAGCCAAGTAATGGCCAGTTATTCACCTGTCTGGTTTACTCAAAAATGCCATTGATATCAATGAGTGCTATTTGTTGGAGCAGAAGAATGGAAAAAATCTAAAGATCTAAGAACAGGGAACCAGTTAAATAAAAGATGGCACACCCATAAACGGAATACTATACAGTCATTAAAAAGAATACGGTGCTCATATGGGACATTCTCCAAGATACACTGGAAGGGAAAAAACAGTATCTGAGTGAACAAAAAACGTACATAATTTTTAGTAAATGGAGTGATGCCCAAAATGTTAGTGACAATGGTAGCTGCCAAGCAGAGGTGCTGGTTGACTGGGTTCAGGAGAGGGAAGGAAATTATTTTACACTGATATCCATTGTACCTTTTGAATTTCATATCACCTGCATATATTATAAATCCAAAAACAGATCTAAAACTTTTTTAAAATGAAGAATAAATACAAATTTTCATTAATCCCAAAGGAAACATGTTGGAGTAAGATGGTGGAGCCAACTAAGCAGGTGTCAAATAATGGCAGCTTCAAGGGCTGCTTCCCCTGTGCCCAGGCTCTGTCACTCAGGGGATCATAAGGAGTCACACACCAGCAGTCACAGGAAGATTAGCTCAAAGTTTGGTGTGCTCCATGCTTTAAAAGTGAATTTGAAGGACTTCAACATACATTTCTGCAAAAAAGATACACAAATGGTCAAAGAGCACATGAAAAGTGGCTCAACATCACTAATCATTAGGGAAATGCAAATCAACGGCTCCATGGGATACCACCTCACACCCGTCAGGATGGCTATGATGAAAAGAAGAAATAGAAAACAGAAAATAACAAGTACTGGCGAGGATATGGAGAAAAGGGAAACTTTGTGCACTGTTGGTAGAAATATGAAATGGTGTGGCTGCTGTTGGCAGAAATATAAAATGGTGTGGCTGCTATGGAGAACAGTAACATGGCTCCTCAAAAAATTAAATGTAGAATTACCATAGGATCCAACAATTCTACTTTTTAAGTATATACCCAAAAGTATTGAAAGCAGGCTCTCAAAGAATATTTGTACACCATGTTCACTGCAGCATTATTCACAGTAGTCAAAGGCAGAAGGAACCCACTTTCATCCATGGACAGATGAACAGATACACAAAGATGTGGCATTTATACACAAAATGGAACATTAATCACCCTTAAAAAGGAAGGAAATTCTGACATGTTACAATATGGATGAAGCTTGAGAACATTATGTTAAGTGACATAAGCCAGTCACAAAAAGACAAATAATGTGTGATCCTATTTATATGAGGTATCTGTAGTAGTCAAATTCGCAGAAACTAGAATGGTGGTTGGCAGGTGCTAGGAGGAGGAGGAAGGAAGGGTGTGTGATTATTTAATGGGTGCTGAGTTTCAGTTCTGCAAAAGGAAAAGAGTTCTGGGGATAGGTGGTGGGGATGGCTGCACAACAGTGTGTGTTTAGTGCCATTGAGCTGTACACTTAAAAAGGGTTAAGTTGGTGATGTTTATGTTATATGCATGTTACCACAATAAAAGTAAATTTTTGAAAATGTGAATTTGAATATATCCAGACACTACACTTGCCAATTCCTCAACAAATTTGTTACGTTTTGCAGCCAGTTTCACACATCTACCTTAAAAAATGGTTTCACACATTGCCTTAGCTGCCTGGCCCCATATTCATTCCAACTTGTGAGCCTTAGAAAATCCATTTAACCTTTTGACCATCAAATTTTCTCCTAGGAACAATAATCTCCATCCTCCTGGGATAATGGATGGAGGAGTAGATGAGCTATGTGTGCAAGCATTTATAAACCCAGTCAGATGCTGTGATGTGCTGCATTCACCCCCAGAACAGATCAAAGAGTGCTTCACTGTGTGGGTTAGTAACATCGTCACATCCCCTCCACACCTGAGCTGGAGAAAAGGTGACAGGACAAGTATAGGAAAATTAAAATCACACAATCCATGGGTTTGTTTGTTTTTTCCCCTTAAAATATTATCAGTATTGTGGGGGTGGGAGTGGGGGTGGAGGTAGAGAATAATACACAGCTTTGAGACATGCCACACTTGATGTAGAAAACTTGGTTCTCAGACATCATTCTTTTTCTGAAAGTGGTATAACCTTTAGTGTCTTTTCCTTATAGTTAGATTTGCCACCTTAATGTAATAATTTAACAAATACCACTTTAGCAGCAATGAAAGGGGAAACTGAGACACAAATCACATAGATGTGATTTCTGCCATTCAAGAGCTCACCCACAGCCTTGATTCTTCACGTGATCATTCTACTTAGTATTCTCTCCCTTGGCAGGTACCATGTTCAATCCCTCTCCTGTTTTGTGTATTAGTCCCAAAGAAAGGAGCATTTTTTCTAAGGGTCTTTCTTCCTTCCTTCCTCCCTCCCTCCATCTGTCCTTCCATCCCTCCATTCCTTCCTTCCTTTCAACTATTATTTTTTGAGCATCTGCTGTGAGTCAGATGCCATCTAGATGTGGAGCAAACTGAGGCTAATAAGACAAAGTCCTTGACATTGTGCCTGTAACATCCTGGTCAGGAAGGTTTCCTTCCTAGCCAAAACTCTATGTGCCTTAGTTTCATACTCTGAACAAAAAAATCTGTTTTTGAATCTCATCCTTGAAGAAGCTAGATTATATAAATCTACCAATACCCTGGGCCATTGCTTGAATCTGACCTATGAAACAAGCAACAAAAATATTTTGACTTTATAGATAATACCTTACATATATTTACAGTATGCCTTTTTTATGCTCAGCTCCAGGTATCTCAAGACTTCTGTGATTTAGAGAGGAGAAAATCATCTACATGTGATAGATATGGAAAATAGGTTCTTAAAAAATCAAGTGACAGATCTCTGTAGGATTGTCAACTTGAGGACATGTGTCAAGAAGTATCCCACAGGAGTCCTATTACTGAATTTTTTGTCAACAGATTGTTTAAGTGGTTTTTATAAATGATTCAAAATATATCTGAGTGGCTGGAACAAGAAGCAAAAATAGCCTTTAAAATAACCTTGACAGCTTTTTCTGCTGACAAACATGGGGGGAGATGATGATGAACATTCTCAAAACTGTAGGTCCTTCCCCACAAGGGAAGTGGATTGTGTGAAGGTTTGACCCCAGCTGCTGTCTAAGAGGTTCCTATTCAAAGATACTAGTATTTTGAACTCTGAGAGAGAAGAAAAAGCCTGGGAGATGAAGACTGGTCCACACATTATAACTTTGGTTTTATGATGAAAAATTAAAATATGTAAGTTGAAATGATCACTTAAAAAAAACCTAAGGTGTCCCAGCCTGTCAGGTCTAAACCCGCCCTTCATGGTCCTGTTTGTGATGCTGGAGCTGGACCTTGGACATTTCACCTGTACCAGGCGGTGCCATGTGGGCCTTTGTCCCCAAGCGCGCTGTAGGAGCACCGCAGTGGGAAGTAACTTGTCTTACTGCTTCTGTTTTTCCTTTCTTCTTGTTCTTGCATCACGTTGGGCATCCTGTGGCACTCACCTCTATGAGTTCAGCAGTCCCCTTACAGGTGGTTTCCAGAAAGTTCTGCCAGAGCCCCGGTCAGCTTCCTAGAAAGTACAATGCCGCCACCAGCAGCTTGCTGATGAGTTGGCCCCAACTGGACCCCAAAGGGTGGCTCATACTGAGTTTTATTGATGCCTCGCTAACTTCTCTGCTAGCCAGAGGGCTATAGCCATGCTCTCTTCAGTAAGGCCTGAATCTCAGTTTGGCGGCAAGAAGTCCCTCTTCCAAATTTGTTTTTTCCTTGGGTATCTCTCTCCTTGTATCCTCTGTTTCTATCATTGTGGGAGTTTCTTAAACTCTTACAGTAATAAATCCCCTGTTACTAGTTAATAATTATTTACATTAAACTTTCCCTGTTACTGTGTGATTTCTTTTTCTTCACTGGACCTTGATTAATACACTGATATCCAACAGAAATGTATATTTATGTTCACCAAAAGCTCTGTACAAGACACTTCATACTAGCATTATTCATAATAGCAAAATGTCTATTACTAGGAGTGATAAATTGTGGTATATTCATACAAGAGAATGCTGTAGCAGTGAAAATAAAAACTACATATACATGCAACAACACAGATGAACTGACAAATGTAATTCTGAGTGAAAGAAGCAGAAAGAAAAGAGAATACTCTCCATGATTTCATTGACTAATGTCGCCAAACAGGCAAAACTAATTAGAAAGTAAAGCAATTATTCTTGGAGAGGATTAGTGATTGGAAGGGACACAAGGAGCTTCTGGTATGTTCTATTTCCTGGCCAGGTTATTGTTACATAACACTGTTTATGCAAATTCATTGAGCAGTACTTTTGATGTTTATATTTAAAAAATTAAGCTGAAAATATTACGTTTATTGAATATGTAGATAATCTGTTTATATGCTGAGATTGAGAGGTTTATGAGGATATGTTGGAAGATGTCAAACAGTTGGAAAATTTAAGGTACATGGGAGATTGCGGCTACACATATACAGACATATACATATATGCTCAGTTTCATATGGTAATGGTTGAAGTTAGAGATGGTCTCATCAAGAGAAAGTGTTCAGGTCAATAAGACCAGGGGATAAATGATGGAACTTTGGAAGGAGAACTCAAGTGGGCAGGGGAGGAAAAGCCCACAAAGAAAGCTGAAAAAGTTTAAGTCAGAGGAGATACCAGAAGAGTCGTGCTGTACAAGCAGAGGGACAAGAGAATGTCAGGAAGACGGAAATTTTATTGTCAAAAGACATTGAGAGATCAAGAAAGATGAGACTGTGTTACACGATTTTGATAATTAACAGGTCATTTGGACTCTAAATGAGACATTTTGAATAATCTGGCTTTGATCAGAGCAAAAGGCAGAGATTATGGGTACACATTACTCTTTAAAGATATTTGGTGGTAAAGTGAAGGAGAAAGAAAGTTTGGGCATGGTTTAGGCCACAGGGAAGGAAGAGCCTAAGGACGGCGGGTTGGCACGTAGTCCCCTGAGACAATGGGAGCGGTGGGATGCCACCTCCGCAGTCAACCAGCTAATAGGCGTCTGCTCCTCAAAGTGTGGTCCACAGAGCAGCTGCGTCAGCATCACCTGGGGCCTTGCTGCAAACGCAGAACCTCAGCGCGGGTCTAATCAGAATCTCCATCTTCATGAGATCCCCATAGCTTTTAACACTCACAGCTATCAGGCCAGACAGACGCTACGATGAGATTGAGGCTCAAATAAGCTGCTGAACTGATTAGAGCTGAGCCAAGATTCATTTCCTGAACTTGCTCAGACCAATGTTGTTTTCAGAAATTCAGAGGAATTTCTACTTTCAATTTAACAGGATTGTTTGGGATGCTAGAACCCCTCCAACGACTGAGCTCAGGGTAGTTCCGTGCCTACAGATACGAGCCCGTTAAGTTGGTGGCGTGAGACCAGCACTGCCTCGCCGGAATCCACGGCAGCGTTGGAACTTCACTTCCCAGCAAGCCCCGCGCCAGGTGACGTCAGCGAGAGACCTGACAGACACCTCGCCCTGTCTGCTGCCCGAGCTGTCAGGCAGAGGCGGGACACCACACGCTTGACGTCAGGGCGCACAGCATCCTGGGATGTGGAGTCTGGCCGGGACTCGGACGCCCCCTCGAATGAATGGGGCCGGGCTGCCTGCGAACTACAGCTCCTGGGCCCGCGGCTTCGGTGGCGCCGCGCGGTAAGTGGAGACCGCGGCGGCCCCCGGGGACAGCGGCGCGCGGGTACGCTGGCAATGCGCTGTGCCGCGGAGGAGGCGGCGGCCCGGTTTCCAGGGATAGCGGTGTAGGCGGGCGCTTCCTCGGCGCGCTCGCTCCCCTTCCCTGCACCGATGCACCCGGCCTTCGCGGTGGGCCTGGTTTTCTCAGGCTGCTGCAGTAACGTGATCTTCCTAGAGCTTTTGGCCCGGTGAGTGACCTCTGCGGGCCGCACCCGGGATTCTGGGGCTGCCCTGAGGAAGTCGGAGGAGGAGCGCCCCCGAGCGCCGTTCCCGGGGCGCGCCCCACTCCACGCGGGGCCCGGGGTGGGTCGGCCTGAGCCCCGGGTCGGCTCTGGGCTGCCTGGGATGCTGCGGAGCCGGGACTCGGTCATCCAGTGCGCCTCCGCTCTCCCGCCTGTCACAGCATCTCTCAAGGGGAACACTCGGGGTTTTGCTGTTGTCACCCCTTTTTCATACCCTGGCGGATTGAAGCCTGGAGAGTTTTCCACGTGACCGGACCGAGGTCGGCCGGGAGGTTGTGGCAGAACCCAAGGTTCCTCCAGCTCTTTTCTGGATCCTGTTAATGCCACATGTTTGACTTGAGTAATGCTTTGTTTACACGCTGCAAAGAAAGTTTCATTTCTATAAAAGTGGACCGCAAAGCATTTGTTTTATTGGCCTTAGAGACAGTTATGACTATTTTGCCCAAACATACCTCTGAGTGATGTAGTAGAAAGAATTCTTATTTATGCAGAGGTCGGTCCAGTTGGCCTGATAAGAGCATTTCCAGTTTTAAGATACTATAGTCTTTAAGTTGGGAAACACGTGTTTTGAGGCATAGTTTTACAAATTACGAATGGCCATGACACTTTCCCAAAGGGAAACTAAGTTGTACTGAGGTGGCATGCAAATAATGTTGAGTAATAGTGCAAAGTTCAGTAGGTAGAAGCTGTTACATAGAAAAGACAACACCGGTTGGGCTGAAAAAGACTAAGGACTAAAAATCTCAAAGATAGGAATTTCAGTCTTGTCTCTCTGGCTATGTGAACTTTTCAAGCCATTTTGCTTCTCTGGGCCTCCTTTATCTGGCTTTAAAATATCTATGGTTGTAGCTCCATGCTTCTGAATTTACACATTATCTCTATTGCCCATCAAAGCAATCTTGTGTACAAATTAAATCAAGAATTATAATCTCTGTATTACTGAAAATGAAACAGGTTCCCAAGAATTTAGGTGGTGGTTTACTACTTAATGGTAAAGCCAGAACTGGAATCCAGAATATCTGAACTCCAGTGTGATACCTTTTTCAACCTCCCTGTTACTTTTGAACTTGAGCGGCCCATTGATTTTTGGTCACCCAGATTTTGGTCAATTCGTCATGTGGTGCCAACCACAAATGTGTTTTATTTTCATTGATTAAGTCATTGTGAAGCAATCAGTTTACTTAAGATGTGGGGTTAATTTTTGCCATTGTGGAGCTTGAAATTTTATGATGCAGGAAGTGTTAAAAAAGATCTGTAGTTCATCATCCTTGGGAGTAGGTGGTGAGGGATATAAAAATGAAAAAGCAAAATGCATCTGGGGATAAAAGCCTGGCACATTTCAAAGGAAGGTCACTTTGGAAATTGATTTAAAATTTTTAAAAATTATAAAATCAGGCCAGCCACAGAAATGAAGATCAGAGAATAATAGTGTAAGATTTGTGTTAAATATGCCGTTAAATTAAATCTTGTCAAAGGCTTTATGATGTCAGAATATGCTAGCAACTGAAGGCCCTCATTTCTGGTTATGAGCCATGGACTAAATTACTTGATCTTCCCAAGGCTGTTCTCTGAACTGTAAAAGGCAGGAGGATGGCATCACCGGCCTTGCAGGGCTTGTGAAGGATGAAATGAGATGCACGCGTAAAGCCTGAAGCAGGTGGAGTTGGCATCCTCTACCAACTTATGTTTCAGTTCTGGTATAACTTGTTTTTTGAGCTGTTCGTGAAAAGTTGTGAATAAATCTAACTTCACAGTTTTTGTGCATTATAGGAGCTTCTCTTTAGTACACTTTGAATAATTTGTAAATACATCATCAAATCATCACTCCCTATTTGTCTTTCTTGTAAATCTGGAGTTTTGCATACAACAGTGGGTTCTCCCAAGATGGTGAGGGGTACATTTATTAATTTAATGAATGGTAAGCCATAGTGAATAGCAGCTTTTTCCTGATTTGCTTCGGTGACTTATGACTTATGTTGCAGATCAATAAAATATGAGCTGGTAGGGCCAGATGCTCTTGAAGGTTCTTTGTAGATTTGGCCTTTTCATAATTTATGACTTTATCTTGAGACAGTGCAGTGGAAAGCTCATAAATGTAGAGTAGGAACTGTGTTTCTTGTATGACTTCCTTGGGACCATTTCATGCCCTAATAAGGGGCAAGCAGAGCACTAAGTACAAATGAAAATACTGGCATGACTTGTAGGGAGAAGCCAAGATTTTTAACCATTTCCCCCAAATTTAGGTCTTTCTTTCTGATTTTCATACCTATAATTAGGTCCCGTAATAAAATATGAAGCACCATGCGGTGACTAGAGCAGAGGCGAAGTAATGAACTAGTGCTTTGATCTCCCTCCTGGAAGAGCTTACATTCTACCTTGGAAACAAGGTATGCACAGATCAGCTAATTGAATAGGCAAGGTATGTGCATCTTACACAGTCTGAGACATTTTCTTTTTCCCTGTTTATTTTCAATCAGGTGCGTAATATTGAATCAAATAAAGAACTTTCCTAACTGTAGAATAAGAAATACAAAAGGCATAAGCTATCTGCCCAATTCTTTCCCTTCAAAGTTGCTTTTTTAAAAGTAAAAATTTGGATTCTTAGCAGAGAGAATTTGAAGTAAGAGAAATATAGCAGTTAGTGTTATAATTCCTGAAGATAAAGTTCAAGAAAAGAAGTGATTGAGGGAAAAGGACCTAAGTTTTTACTCTGAAGTTTTAAAATGAATTATTCAAACTGAAATAAATAGTTTCATTGGTAGCTATACAACAGTGGGTTCCTAAAAAGCTCTGTAAAGTTGAGGTTTCAAAAATTGAATTATATGAGTACATTAGGGAGATTTTAAAATCCTATGGAAATAAAAGACAAAGTAAATCAGAGATAGGGGAGGAGGAACTAGGGATTGACTCCTAATGTATATGGAATTTCTTTGGAGGTATCCTAAAATTAAATACTGATAATGGCTGCATAACTCTCTACTAAAACCACTGAATTGTTAAAAATAATAACAATAAGAAGAAGAAAGAGGTCTAAAAGCACCGTTTATTTGCCATGTGGCCCTGGGAGACTTGCCTTATAGCCCTCAGTGTCTTTAGCAATAAATGGGCATAATAATATCTACCTCCACAAAATAAAGATGAAATTGAAGATTATTATGATGCTTTTAAAAAAAAAATCCTGTGAAGAATGCACTTGCAACATGAATCATGTTTTGAAATAAATTGTTTTTCATCTTGTCTACAATCCTAGTATTCTAGATCATTCTTGTTTCCTGTGAGGCACACCTATGTTCATTCAATCGCTTCAATGATGGCCAGCCACTGGGCCCAGAGAGTGGGGGCATGAAGATGAACAGGACGTGGACAGTCCTTAGCCATCTCTGTGTGGCACTGGGTTCTTACTGTTGCATTGTCAGTATAGTGTGGTCACCTTAAGGGCACAGGCATCATGTCTCAATCCTATCGGCCCTCACAGCTAACACCTAACTTTACACATAATGGGTTCTTGATTATTGTTCTTTAATTGGCCTAAGCATTTGGTAAAGAGAAAATGGAGGGAAAGGAAGGAAGCTTAGTGAACCCCTTTTGGGCTAAGTTTTGTGCTTGGCACTGTATTTAATTTATCATTGGATCCTGTCTACAATGTTAAGAATTTATCACTTCTATTTTATAGGTGAGAAAAATTGGTCAATATAAATATCTTTAAAAGGGTTATTACAAGTGAAGACTTTCCAATACGCAAGATCCTAGTGGAACTAGTCTTGGCCTTTTTCACTTCCTGGCAAACACTGTGTTGTGCTTTTCAGGAAATGGCTTGTTTACTGTACAATTAACCAGTGAGATAGGCACTAATACTGTTCCCATTTTAAAGATAAGAAAGCTAGGCTTAAATAGGGTAATTAACTTTTCACTGTCACACAGTAAGTGACAGATCCTGCATGTCATTGTGTACTTTTTTTTTATTAAGGTATCATTGATACACAGTCTTATGAAGGTTTCACATGAAAAACAATGTAGTTACTACATTCACCCATATTATCGAGTGTCATTGTGTACTTTTAACCAGAGGAGTACAGCCGTTCCAAACCTTGTGACAGCACCTAAGAATTACCTGTGCATCCTTAACGCCCCCTCTCCCCCACCTCCTGGCCCTTTCCCCAGACCTACACTAGTGGTTGTCAGCTTTGGCTGCACGTTAGAGAATCAAGTAGGAAGCTTTCAAAATTATAGATTCCATGATGCTACTCCAGAGACCAATCCAGTTGGAACTGGGAGGGCGAGGCTCCTCAGGCATGTGGGTTTTTAAAGAGCAGCCTAGCCAGTGTTGAAAAGCAGTGTGCCAGGAATTATCTAGGCCTGAAGTGCCTTCTGCTACTCATATTTAGGCTAATGGTTTTAATTAGCACCTTGGATGAGGTAAATGTCTTCCAAGATTACTTATGGATCCTTGCGATGGTTAGCTCAGTCCTTTGAACATAAGAAGTGCTAAAGAGATTGTTGAAATGAATATAAAGTGGTTTTCAAGGAAACCTTCATAGGCAGTGGAGCCTACAGGGTAGCAACAGTCCTGCCTCAGATGGTAAGCCGAGCTCTGTACAAGAATGGCTTATGCTTGGAGTTGCGTCTTTCTGTGCCTGGTGGGTATATTTAAGAATTCGTATACTTGGCATTGCTGTTTAATATTAATACTGACAATGGAGAATGGAGTTGTTTTTAATAAAGAGCATTATACTAATATATAATAATATAGTCAAATCTCCTAATCACTAGCTTTGGGTAAATAAATGTCTTTGATCAAGATGAAAATACAGAGTATGAAGGCCTGAAAATATGGGTAATATGGGAAATCTGGAAGCTTTAGGAAAACAAAGACAACTGCTCACTTTGTACTTCTTCCAGTGACTAAGCAGAACCTAATGGAGGGCAGGCCCAAGAAAACCACAGGTATTTTAAGTAACTAATTTTCACAGAGTGCTTCAGGAAAGATGTCAGAAGGAATTTGTCTGTCTTGTGAATTTGTTCCTCCTAACGTCACTGTGGAAGATCCCCAAACCCTTACGTAGATCCTCAAGAGGTCTGATTGAATTCCACCAGCATTTGTTGTGTGCCTAATACGTTTGTGTTAAGGGTTGTGGGGAACACTAGATAGTAATAATGTTCCTCAGTCTTTGCTTCATTATTGCTCCTTACCCCTCACCCCCACCAAAGACTCTTTTTAGATATTTTTTCCCCAATTATCCCTCCATAGATACATTATTTTCTAGTTTATGTACTGTATGTATTTCTTTATTTGATACTTCAAAAAAGAATGAGATCCTGCCACCCCACAATCCAGTTACTGCCTCTGTTGGGGCACTGTCTAAGGTAACATCATAAGCAGTGGGTGCACAGTCTTACGCTGACAGTAGTCATGGTGATTCCTGGTTGGGGGATATGTACACATTCCTGGACACCTGAGTGTATTTCTGTGCTTGGGCTTTTGCCCCTTATACTGATTAGAATCCTGACTGAGGATCCTGACTAAAGCCCTCTTAGTTAAGTGAGGCTCAATGCTAGTAACATGACCAACTTCCTACAGTTTACTAGAAAAATTGTATCCTAGTACTAGGAACAAGTGTATCCAGAATAATTTTTTTTGAGTATGTGTGTGTTATTTTTAAAGTATAGTTGACATGCAATATTAGTTTCAGGTGTACAACATATCTGACAATTACGTATGTTATGAAGGCTCACCATCTATAACTACAAAGTTATTACATACGTATTGGCTATATTCCCTATGCTGCACTTACCAACCCTGTGACTTATTTATTTTATAACTGAAAGTTTTTTCCTTCTTTATCCCCTTCACCTAGTCCACCCATCCTCCGTTCCCCTCCCTTATGGCAGTCATCAGTTTGTTCTCTGTATTTATTAATCTATTTGGTTTTTGTTAGTTTTATAATTCCACATATGAGAGAAATCGTATAGTATTTGTCTTTCTTTGTCTGACTTACTCTACTTTGCATAAGTGACGAAGTCCATCCATGGGTTACAAGGGACAAGATTTCATTCTTTTTTATGGCTGAGTAATATTTCATTGTATACCACATCTTTATCTATTCATCTGTTGATGACACTAAGGTTGCTTCTGTATTTTGGGATTGTAAATGCTGCAGTAAATGTAGGAGTGCATATATCTTTTTAAATTAGTGTTCTTGTTTTCTTTGGGTAAATTCCCAGAAGTGGAATTACTGGGTCTTATGGTATCTCTATTTTTAACTTTTTGAGGAATTTCCATACTGTTGTCCATAGTGTCTGCTCCATTTTACATTCCCTTTTCCCCACATCCTTGCCAAAATTTATTTCTTGTCTTTTTGAGGATAGCCATCCTGACAAGTGTGAGGTGATATCTCATTGTGGTTTTGATGTACATTTCCTGATGAAAAGTGAAGTGATTCTTACTCATGGCCTGCTATACCTAGAGAAGAATGAAATAAGAAAGCTTGACATTTTTTCTCTGTGAAGTATATTGATAATTGTGTGTGATCAATGAGTTATGAAACCTGAAATAAGAACAGCAGCTAATAGAAATCTATCTGCCCCATTAGTCTGAACTGTCAATACAAAGTCTCAGTGCCCTTTATCTCAGTGTTTTGTACCTTTTTTTCTCTTTGTTATTTACTGCATAGGAAGCATCCAGGATGTGGGAACATTGTGACATTCGCACAATTTTTATTTATTGCTGTGGAAGGCTTCCTCTTGGAAACTGATTTGGGAAGGAAGCGGCCAGCTATCCCAATAAGGTATGGCGCATCGAAATCTCTTTTAACTTTCGTTTTTTAAAAAAAGTGAGGAGCTTTTCTGGGACCTATATAAAGGAGTATGAGTATCCTTTTATAAGAGCTATAGATATCAAAGATATCAGTAAAATAATAGTTCATTTTCTGAATTTAATATGTTGTGAAACTCCAGAGAGCATATTTTTAAAATAAAATTCCTGCTACAATACTTAAAATAACTAGTGGAGGCAACTCTGTGTGTGTGTGTGTGTGTGTGTTTATATGTGGTCAGTTAAAGGCCTAGTGTGACCACAATTTTTGAAAATAGTTTTGTATGCTGTCCTCATGTTGGTGAAGTTATTAGATATGCTGAGTGGTGTTGTTCCTTTATAAAAATGAATGGCTTTTGGAAATAAAAAGAGATGGTGGCTACACAACATTGCAAATGTACTAAATGTCACTGAATTGTTCTCTTTTAAATGGCTCTCTTTCTGTTACATGAATTTCACCTCAAAAGAAAATGGATGGCAAGCAAAGGCAAAATTGTTGATTTCAGACGTCCATCCTTTAGTCCAAATTTGCATGGGGCCCAAATAGAAAACAGGGCAGTTCTTATAATAAACAATGTATTGAACTCTCAGCATTGTTGTTGTGAGAAGACTTGAAATAAAAGTATAAACTATCCACATGTATTTAGTAGGATAGTGTCACTTCATCTGAAAGGGACATTCTGGTGCGAAGAGATCCCGGGACTGGATAAGGCTCATCCTTGTTGGTGTCCTTTTGCAGCATTCCTGAGTGACGTGCTGTAGAAAATCTGGCTGAATTTTGTTCTTAATATTGTATTTTTCAATTGCCCAATGCGATGTTAAATGTTCTGAATACTTGGGTTTGCTTTCATTGGCTTTAGTACCTGCATAAAGCTTTCTGCTCCCAAGAGCAGCATTTACATCCCAGGAGCTCCAGCACTTTTTGACTCCACCAGCCCTTTCCTTCTTCCTCGCACCGTCCCTTCCCATCCTGGCTGTCACCAGCACAGTTCAGGAGCTTACTCACTCTCACTTTAACTTGTGTAATAGTATCCTAGCTGGCTGACCTCCTGCCTCCCACCGCTTCATCCCTCCATTTCAAATTCCACGATACCGTGTGACCCCCTCTCATAAGCGCTCAGGGGTCACTCCCTAACCTGCCCTTTGAGGCACCCTGGGATGCTGCCCTCATAACCAGACCCCATGTGTGTCCCATTTGGGCTGTTTTATTTTCTACCTGGGAAACCATAATCAAAATCTTTCTTGTGTCATTCATCCCCATGAGCTATTTCTAAGCAGTGCTGTGTAGGCAGCAATGTGGAATAGCTGGAATTAATTATCCTGAAAAACCTTGATGAACTCTGTTCTCTGAAAGACATCTTTTCAAGACAGGATGAAGAAAATTTGCAAGAAACCTTGTGAAGTCACCAACAGTATATTATTTAGAAGCTGTGAAACAGCTGTTGTCAGAAATTTTGCATGTGTGTAGGACTGTGTTCTGCATCCACTGTAAAGCTGCTCAAACTTTCTTTCTAGATCATGTTAATTAATCCCTGATGTGGCTGCCTGTGAGGCCGTATTGCTCTATACCTAAGCAGCAGTGCAAAATAGGTTCTTGTCAGGGAAGATAACTTGAGACTCAGTGCTGTCACATCCTTCAAATGTATGAAAGGGCGGGTGGGGCATCTGTGCTCAAGATTTTTCAACATTTCCTGAAGACTGTGGGACCACTTATTTACCTTTGCCCCACATTCTTTACCCACTTATTTAAAAAATGATTTTTTTCTCTTTTTGATTAGGTTGAGTTTTCTGAAATTACTTTTCAGCCCTTTTTGACCTACAAAAGTGGCAATTTAAATGGCTTAATCTGATATATATAAAAGGCATCTTGTTATTTTCTAGATCAAAAAACGGGCATTCAACTGTAAAATTATTTAATTCATTTATTCATAATTTTTCATTTGTATTTATCCATTTGTCTAAGTTACAAGGGTTACTGGATTGAAAATTTTTTTGCTTTTATTATTATTTAAAGACCTATAAACTACCAAAAAATCAGGGCCCTGATTTTAAATACAAATCCGTACAAGTCAAATAATGTCCTGGTTCATTTGGAGACTTCTGGTTCAATTCAGAATGTGGGATATTTTGTTACTAGGCTGAAAGTAACCCTTGACTTAGTAAATCTTTTCTTTGAAAATAGTGAAAATTAATAGAATAAACAAGTGTATAGAGGAAATATTTGAGAAAATTAACTATTTTCAAGCTCTTTAGAGGTATATGAAAATTATGTACAAAGAACTGACAAAATAAAAAAAATTATTCAATTTTAAAAACCTATTGATATCTACTAGGTAACTTTTTTTGAAACCCAGTTTTCAGTTACTGTGTCTACTTGGAAAATATTAAATTAGTGTTTCTTTAAAAATATTATATAATTCAAGCTTTTTTCATGTTAGCCTGGCTTTATGAAATATTTTTATACATAGTATTTGGCTTCATGTTATAATAGTGATACGGTCTTTTAATACAGAGGAAGTAAAATACTTTTTAACCAAAAATATCTATTTCCTTCCATAGTTTTCTTTTTCTTGTTTTTTATTTAAGTATCATTGATACACAACCTTATGAAGGTTTACATGAACAACATGGTGGTTTCAACATTCACCCATATTATCAAGTCCTCACCCCCCATTGCAGTCACTGTCCATCAGCACAGTAAGATGCTATAGAGTCATCACTTATCTTCTCCGTGCTGTACTGCCTTCCCCGTGACCCACCTATATTGTGATTGCAAATTATTATACTTGGTTTTCTTGAAATAGTAAGTTCTATTTGATGAGTTGTCATCTCTGCATTCCAGGTACTATGCTGTAATGGTGACCATGTTCTTCACTGTCAGCGTGGTGAACAACTATGCCCTGAATCTCAACATTGCCATGCCTCTGCATATGATATTTAGATCTGTAAGTGCTGCTGGCTTACATACATATGTTCTGAAAAATGTAGCTGACTGGGTAGATGAAACAGATGGCCAAAATAGGAAGGTCTTGTAATAAGTCAAGTCTAGGATATAAGAATAGGTCTAATGGATGAGTGAGCAGAGGCTTGTTTTCATCTGAGAAGTAAGGCAAAAAGAAATGTGGACATGGATGGTTTACTTTATTTTATTGAGGTTCTATGGGTGTCTAATAAAAGGAAAGTTAAAATTTCCCTAGGAATCAGATTTTACCTTTAATTTCCTTCATCTGGTTGATTTTCTATTCAAACTTGTTATGGATGTTATTTAACTCACTTGTCATCACCTTTTCTTCCATATACTTACATTTTCTTCTAGTACATGGAACACATACTTTTTTTATTTTTTATTTTTTTAAGCAGAGACTTGAGATAATTAAAGAAGGCAAAGATCCTGATGAAGGTAGGGGTTCTCCCAAAGCAGCAAAGGTTTTCTTTTTTGCCTCATGTATGGTGGGAGACCTGCATTTAGTTGTATATAAATTAAAACAGTGTTTCCTAAAGAGCATGAAAGACTTCAAGGAGGAATGTAGTTAGGATTGCAGAAAAATGCAAAATGGATAACTGGAATCAGAACATTTCTGTGTGGTCTGAGATTGAATGTGTTATTCCTAAAGGGACATTTCTGAGTTAATTATGATTACAAAAATCACCTTCAAAGCACTGAACATATGGTAGACTTTCAATAATAAACTGTTGATGATTGGCTGACACCTTTCCAGAGGAGAGAGATCCCTGCACTTTTTAAAAAACTGAAGTGTAATTGACATACAATATATTTTTTTACTGAAGTATAGTTGATATACAATCTTATATTCGTTTCAAGTATACAACCCAGTGGTTCAACAGTTACCCATATTATTAAATCCTCACCCCTTACACAGTCATTGGCTATATTCTCCATGTTGTAGCACCATCCCCATAACCAATTTATATTGGGATTGAGAATTTTTGTGCCCCTTTGTCGCCCTCCCTCTCCCCACCCACACACCTCAACCCCTCCCCCATGGTAACCACCAATCACTTCTCAGTATCTGTGAGTCTACTGCTATTTTGTTCATTTTGTTTTTAGGTGACACAAATAAGTGAAATCATGTTATTTGCTTTCTCCATGAGGCTTATTTCACTTAGAATAATACCCTCTAGGTCTATCCATGCTGTTCCAAATGGCAGGATTTCTTTTTTTTTTTTCATGGCTGAATAATATTTCATTGTGTATATGTACCACATCTTCTTTATCCATTCATCTATTGATGGACACTTCTTCCATATCTTGGCTATTATAAACAATGCAGTAATAAACATAGGGGTACATATATCCCTTTGAATCAGGGATTTCTGATTCAAAATCAGAAAATGATAAATTCCTAGAAGTGGAATTACTGGGTCATGATTTCTATTTTTGATATTTTGAGGAACCTCCATACTGCTTTCCACAGTGGCTGCACCAATTGACATACCCACCAACAGTGTAGGAGGGTTCCCTTTTCTCCACATCCTCGCCAGCACTTGTATTTCTTGTCTTTTGGGTAGTGGCTATTCTCACTGGTCTGAGGTGATATCTCATTGTGGTTTTGATTTGCATTTCCCTGATGATTAGGGATGTGGAGCATCTTTTCATGTGCCTGTTGACCACCTGTATTTCTTCTTTGGAGAAGTGTCTGTTCAGGTCCTCCTCTGTTTTTTGGATTGGGTTATTTGTTTTTTTAGTGTTGAGGTGTATGAGTTCTTTTTATATTTTGGATGTTAACCTCTTACTGGATAAATCATTTACAAATATATTCTCCCATACTATAAATTGCCTTTTTATTCTGCTGATGGTGTCCTTTGCTGTACAGAAGCTTTTTAGTTTGATGTAGTCCCACTTAATCATTTTTCATTTTGTTTCCCTTGCTCAGGAGATGTGTTCAGGAAAAAATTGCTCATGATTATGTTCAAGAGATTTTTGTCTATGTTTTCTTGTAATTTTTATGGTTTCATGTTTTAAATTTAGATTTTTGATCCATTTTGAGTTTACTTTTCTGTACACACAGTAATCTGATTTCATCTCTTAGATAATAGCTGTCCAGTTTTCCCAACACCACTTATTGAAGAGGCTGTTCTCCATTATATATTCATGGCTCCTTTATCATATATTAATTGACCACATATATGTGGGCTTATATCTGGGCTCTCTAGTCTGTCCATTCTTGTGCCAATACCATACTGTTTTTATTACTGTAGCTTTGTAGTATAGCTTGAAGTCAGAGAGCATAACCCCTGCCAGTTTTGTTCTTTCTAAGGATTGCTTTGGCTATTCAGGGTCTTTTGTGGTTCCATATGAATTTTAGGATTATTTGCTCTAGTTCATTGAAAAATTGCTTTGGTAGTTTGACAGGGATTGCATTGAATTTGTAAATTGCTTTGGGTAGGATGGCCATTTTGACAATATTAATTCTTCCTATCCATGAGCACAGGATACATTTCCACTTATTAGTATCTTTAATTTCTTTCTTGAGTGTCGTATAGTTTTCAGAGTACAGTCTTTCACCTCCTTGGTTAGGTTTATTCCTAGGTATTTTATTCTTTTTGATGTAATTGTAAATGGAATTGTTTTCCTGATTTCTCTTTCTGATAGTTCTTTTAGTACATAGGAATGCAACAGATTTCTGTGTCTTAATTTTGTGTCTTGCAACTTTGCTGAATCTAGTTATTAGTGCTAATAGTTTTTTGGTGGAGTCTTCAGGGTTTTCTATGTATATTATCAAGTCATCTGAAAATAGTGAGAGTTTAACTTCGTCCTTACCTGTTTGGATGCCTTTTATCTCTTTGTCTTGTCTGATTGCTGTGACTAGAACCTCCACCAGTACTGTGTTGAATAAGAGTGGTGAGCGTGGGCATCATTGTCTTGTTCCTGATCTTAGAGGAAAAGCTTTCAGCTTTTTGCCATTGAGTATGATGTCAGCATGGGTTTGTTGTATATGGCCTTTATTATGTTGAAATATGTGCCCTTGATACCCATTTTATTGTGAGTTTTTATCATGAATGGATGTTGAATTTTGTCAACATTGAGATGATCCATTGAGATGATCATGTCGTTTTAATTCATCTTTTTGTTAATGTGTATGATATTGATGGATTTATTGTACCATCCCTGCATCCCTGAAATAAATCTCCCTTGGTCATAATGGGTGATCCTTTTGATGTATTTTTCTATTTGGTTTGCTAATATGTTGTTGAGGATTTTTGCATCTGTGTTCATCAGGAATATGGGTCTAACATTTTCTTTTTTTGTAGTATCTTTGGTTCTGATATTAGAGTAATGCTGGCCTCATAGAATGAGTTTGGAAGTAATCCCTCCTCTTCAGCCTTTTGGAATACTTTAAGAAGGATGGGTATTAGCTCTCTTTAAATGATTGGTAGAATTCAGCTGTGAAGCCATCTGGTCCTGGATTATATTGGGATTCTTTGGATTACCAATTCAATTTCATTGCTGGTAATTGGTCTGTTCAGATTTCCTGTTTCTTCCTGGGTCAGTCTTGGAAGGTTGTATTTTTCTGGGAACTTGTCCATTTCTTCTAGGTTGTCCAATTTATTGGCATATAATTTTTCAATAGTATTCTCTAATAATTCTTTGTATTTCTGTGGCTTCCTTTATGACTATTCCTTTTTCATTTCTGATTTTGTTTGTGTACTCTTCTTTCCTTGATAAGTCTGGCTAGGGGTTTTTTTTTTTTCTCAAAGAAACAGCTCTTGGTTTTGTTTTTCCATTTTTTATTTTCCTCTATTTTATTTATTTCTGCTCTGATGTTTATTATGTCTCTTCTGCTAACTTTCGGTTTTGCTTATTCTTCTTTTTCTACTTTCTTTGTGAGTTTAGACTGTTTATTTGGGATTGTTCTTGTTTCTTGAGGGAGGCCTGTATTGCTATTTACTTTCCTCTTAGAACTGCTCCTGCAGTGTCCCCCAAATTTTGGACTGTTGTATTTTTGCTTTCATTTGTCTCCATGTATTGTTTGATTCCTGTTTTGATTTGTTCATTGATCCATTGATTATTTAGGAGCATGTGTTTAGCCTCCATATGTTTGTGGGTTGTTTTCTTTGTGTGATTTATTTCTAGTTTTGTACCATTGTAGTTTGCAAAGTTGCTTGATACAATTTCAGTCTTTTTAAGTTTGTTGAAGCTTTTTTTATGGCCTAGTATTGCAATCTACTCGTGAGAATGTTCCATGTACACTTGAGAAAAATGTGTATCCTGCTGT